GCTTTCTTTTGCTCTCTGGCTTACTCACTCCGATAGAAGCCACTGTCCCATTGTGAGCCTCTGTAGAGAGACCCACATGGCAAAGAACCGAGGGAAGCTTCTAGTCAATAGCCAGTGAGATACTAAGGCCCTCAGTCCAACAGTTCATGAAAATCCAATGCTGCCAACAACCATGAGAATGAAGCCGACTCCTCCCAGTCAAACCTTAGATGAAACCACAGACCCAGCTGACATCTTAATTATAGTCATCTCTGTTTTTGTTGAGGGGTACTTCTTTATATATTTAGTGTAACAACTGATACTGATAAGTTGTATGTCAGTTCTACTTTAATTTAAAAATTTATGTCAGGATTTCAGGTTAGGTTTGTCTGATTTCAAAGCTCAGGTTTGTTGTTTGTGATCCCTCCATTTCTTGGTATTTCCTCCATGAATATCCTATTCAAACTGAACTCTTTATTCCACAAATGTGCCTAATTCTTTTCCATCTCTCTACCTTTTGCTGATCATACCTCCAACTCTTGGAATGCCCTTCCCACTTATTTCTTCATGTATGAATTTTACTAATCTGTCAGAGACTTGCTTAGTCATCACCTCTGCCATGACACTTTTATTGAGTCCCCAGCCCCAGAAGTAATCTCAGTTCTATTTGTCAGCTACATAGCAAATAGCATGGTCTCTGGTGCACTTCAGCTGCTCCGTACATACTAGTGAGTGATGTTAAAATTCTACTCTGTAACATTGCATATGAATTATTTGCATTCATAGAATGCTTTTAAAAGTTCAAGTAAGCCAGAAGATTTTTTTCTTAGCTTGTTATTTTAGAGGAAATGGACAATCATAATGCATAATCTAATGTGTAGTAAGAGAAGCTCAATGGAAGATAAGTCTCATTTCAATCTGAAATTGCAAGTATATTTAGTAATTTTCTCTAAACAGTTTTTACACACCTCATTTCCTTTTTCATCAGCAATTGTTTTGTAGCTGCAGGTGTAAAATGTAGGTTGACCATGTAAAACTGTCTTGAACACAGGCTTTCATTTTGCAAATTCCACTGGATAATTGGTTTTTTTATAAATAATATAATAAAGGATATTTAAAATGTGCTTCTCATTTGGATTTTCTCCAAAAGAGACCATAGAATTACAAAAACCAGATCACCTTTCTCCATGTCATTAAGGGCTTTTTGATGGTTGCCACTGACATACAGGTTTTGCTTTATTCACTTTATTTCATTTAATATTTTTAAAGGCATTGAGCTAAGAGCTATGGAGGGGATAAGGGAATATAAGTGTCTGCAAAAATATAACCTAGTCTGGAAGAAATAATGAACAATGCAAGGTAGTACAAAATCAAATTATCAGTGTAATGGTACAGATCATGGATTTAGAAGATGGAGACAGTTATAATATTTTCTAAATATTTTAGTACTTGATTACCCACTGTCTTGTACTATGTATTAAATTACATATAAGAAACATTCAAAAAGCTTTTGCCTTACAGTCTGCATAAGTACCCCTTCTGACTTTGATGCAAATGTAGTCAACAGGCTACCTTGCAGTCAATCATTCCTCAAGGAATCATCTCTTATTCCTAGAATTAAATTCTGTCTCTACCAATTGGTGTTAATAGCTAAAAGATACTGGTTTCAAATTCTACCCAAGTACGCACAGTCTTTATTCTAGATGTATCACCTGCAAAGCGTTGTTTATTTTTTTTGCTTTTCCCTCTGGATTTTCTTTCCTCTTCTGTGTTTTATTTTAATTCTTAGGATATTTGGTTTGATAGGGGAAAATAAAACCCATATTATGTGCCTGATAACATGCTAGATATTTTTCATATATATTCTCTCATTTTATCTGCACACATAAACAATAACTTTCTTCTAGATAGTTATTAATCATTCTCATTTTTAAAGTTAAGAAAACTGATGTCCAGAGAGGTTAAATAAATTGTCTAACATTGAACAGGCAAGTTTTCCACAGACTTCAGCGTCTGGTATTAGAATGTAAGTTTGGATGCTTTTTTGAATTAACATTTACTAAAAGACAAAGAATTAAATTTAATGTTGTATATCTTGTGTTAATAAAAGCTGAGTAATAAGTAGCACAGAACTGAAGAGAAAGGTAATGGAACAAAATACCATGATTGAGAGTCAGAGACACAGAAGCAGATCCATGAAGACTTCAGATATTGGAATTATTAGGCACAGATAAAAAAAAAAAAACTGTGCTTGCTATTTTCTACTAAATAAAAGCAAGCTTGAAATCGCTAACTGAAAAATGCCAAATGGTGACATTGTATATTTGAAAAAGAACCAAATAGAAATTTTAGAAATGTGAAGTATAAGTCAAATTATGAAAATGATTTGATAGTAGACTAGACACTGCTGAAGAAAGCCAATAAACTGGAAAATGAGTATAAAAAACTATTCAGAATGCAACACAGAGAGACAACAATGAAAACTACAAAAGAGAGAATAAATAATGAGAGCAAAGTCTCTAACGTTATTTCACTGGAGTTCAAAAAACATTAGCTATTATTATTATTATGTCACTTCTTGCTTAAATATCTTCAATATTTCCCATTGCCTATAGAATTAAATATAAACTTATATAATAATAAAACCTCCTTGTAATTATTTAAACTTATCTCCAACTTTTTCCTAACATAACATAACAGCTTTGTCTATGCTCTTTTCCTCTCCATGCCCTTCCTTAAGTTTTATGTTCCATCCCAGCTTTCTTGCCTGAAAACAGAAGGCTTTCACGGCCCTCTTCTTTCCTAGGCACAGTCTGATGATTGCTCCTCCTCTTGCTGTTTCATCATGCTTCCTTTATCTGTTTTCAAATCTCAAATTATATTACATTATACTTTGTCTACATGTCTGATGTCACATTTGAGTGTATAACTCTTAAGGGCTTGGATTTTTAAAAATTTTATTAAACTTTATTTTTTAAAGCAGCTTTAGGTTCCCAGAAAAATCAAGCAGAAGGTATAGAGATTTCTTTTGTACCCTGACCCCACATAGGCACAGCTTCCCCCACTATCAACATTACCCACCGTGGTGGTACATTTGTTACAGTCAGTGAACCTACATTGACCCACCATTATCATCCAGTCTCCACATACACGATGCTAGGGCTCACTCTTGATGCTGTACATTCTGTGGTTTGGACACGTGTATAATGACATGTATCCACCACTGTTGTATCACACAGAATAGTTTTACTGCCCTACAAATCCTCTGTGCCCCACCTACTCATCCTTCCCTACCCTCTACCCTCTGCCTAGACATTCTTTTTAATTTATCCTTAGAACATAACATAATACCTGACATATAGTTGTCCCCAAATAAATGTTTTTAGATGTATGGTTGAATGAATGAAAGGGAGAGACAAATTGGAAAGAATCGGTGCTTCTTTTCATTGTCTTGCTGACTGATATTTTATCTCTGTTTTAATAATTACTCGTACCAATTCTATTCTAGTCAGAAGACCACCCCTACATTACTGTCTTTCAGAACTCTGGGTATTCTTTAGATGCTGATTCAGATCTCACCTAATCCATTAAACCTGAGTCAAGAGTAAGCTCTAGATACTTTTAAGACTTATTTAATAAATGATCTATTTAATTCAATATGTCACATTTGTATTTTTTTTTTAAAGATTTATTTATTTATTTGAGAGAGCGAGAGAATACATGAGAGGGGGGAGGGCTAGAGGGAGAAGCAGGCTCCTCGCCAAGCAGGGAGCCCGATGCGGGACTCGATCCCGGGACTCCAGGATCATGACCTGAGCCGAAGGCAGTCGCTCAACCAACTGAGCCACCCAGGTGCCCCACATTTGTATTTTTTTGTTTCACGAACCTATGTCTGGACTCCCCAGTGTAACTGAATTATGTTTTTATATGATGGGTAGAGTTTTCATCCCCTCACTTTTTATAAGCAAGAGGTGTCTTCATAAATTATTACTTTGGGATTGTAGACAATGGCTGTGGAACAGAGAAATTTGCTGATCTATAAAGAATTCACAGTCTCAATCTCTTTTGTACCAATTCAACTGTCTAGGATAGAAAATTATTGGGAACTAATTAAAAACAAGGAATTTTTTTTTTTTTTAGATTTGAGTTTGCAATGGTTTCCATACAAAGCTGTAGAAGATTGCCAAATTGTTATTAAAATAATATAACCTTTATGTGCTAGCAAGAGTTATTTTTACAACTCTTCCATCCTTTTCCAAGTATATTAAACATTTTTAAACTGCATCTTTTTTTGTTATTTTGTCTTGATAAAAATTTAAGAAGAAAGTTATATGCATGTTGCTGATTTTAAAGTCATCATTTTATTCCTCCTCCGACCCTCAATACTAAACATAAGGGAGAGATTTTTGAAATTTCATTCAATTAGTTTGACTATATAAGAAGATGTGTTTATCTGGGTGCGATGGTTTTGTGTCAGTCTACATTGTAAAACTATTGTGCACAAATGTCAATTTTTCCTCAGGTTAATTCACTGGGATGCCTCTCAATAGTTTGAGCGATTTCTGGGAAAAGTGCCTTGAGGAGGCTTGAATTTGGGTTTTATGACTCAGGGAGTTACAAAACTTCCACTTTAATAAAGATCAATACCCATTTGAAAGATTATGGGGAAAACAGCCCATTCATATAAAAAATCATATTCTTTTTAGTTAAGCTGCAGTTTTGGCCATTTGTATAATAATGGCAGTCTTAATAGCTGTGTTGGGTGATCTATCATTATGAATTGTATAATAATACTCTTCCTTCTTGGAATAATACTACAGGGTATGATATTTACCATTCCAAAGGAAAGCAAAACATTCAATAAACATTATCTTTAAAATATACTGCTGTGTATATTCCTTATTATGATCTTGTAATTGATACCAGTTTTAAGTTGAAAACTCAATTCATGTTCACTAATTTCAAGTCTTAAAAGGTAAACTGAGTGATTAGGTTTATGGCTGTTCTATTTTTATTCACAGATAATGCTTCTGAGGTAGCAATTACTGCTCCAGGAAGTAGTAACCATAGAAACAGCTCGACAGGGCCAACACCTGACTGCTCACCTCCATCCCCTGACACTGCCCTCAAAAATATTGTAAAAGTTATTCGACCCCAGGTAAGTGCCCAGAATGACATCATCTGCAGTAGCATATATATTTTTTTTAATCATTGTATGTATACTACTTATAATGCAATGCCTGGACTATTTTATGATATGCAAATACATTTTTAGATTAAAAGAAGGGACTTGGAGGAGGATGTTTCCTTCCTTGGAGTTAATGATACACATTGAAATCTGTATTATTTTTGGAATAATGAATTTGTAAATTACATGAAAAAAACAAGTGAAACTTAGAAAAATGGCTATTTCACATCATTTTCCTCTCACATTTTAATAATTATGCTCCAATTACTGAGCTATTACATGTTTTCTGGGTTTTCCTGATTCTTTTGTCTTCATTTCTCTGGACATGCCGCATTATTTGTGATCACTTCTCTATCTTCCAACCTAAGTTGTTTTGATAATTTTCTTTAAATTCTCTATTCCTTATGGTTTCCAACTAATTTTGTCTGTGTTTAATATTGCACCTCTCATTGCTCCTTATTTTTCTCCAGTGCTCACTTTCCTCTAGCTTGTCTCCCTCTACCTTTTGTTCTTTTTTTCAATTTCTGTCATTTGCATGTATGGGTTTCTTTCTCTTCCTTCTCTTTCAGTTGGATTTCCCAGTAGGCGGTTTGCAGGCAAGCTTTAGAAATATCATTGGGACAAGCTGTTCTGTGATATTTCATTGAAAATAGCACTTATAAAGCTGTTTGCATTACATTTTTGCCAACAGATGGACTCAGAACATGGAATTGGTGGTGTTCTCAACCTGGCTCATTCTGAATGGGCCTCATAAAATCCAAGTGAGGAGGACTTTGGATCCAATCAATGCCATTCACCATCTACTTAGATATTTAGTATGAACAAATCCTTGGAGCCAATTTTGTAAGACAAATGTCTCTTTTTAAGACTGTTTTGGCCTAAATGAGCAATGATTCACTTAATATCTACCTTCTTCAATATGATTTATTTTAGTTTATTTTCATTATAACCATCCTCATGAATAAAATGGCATTTTAACTTCACATATTCACTGTAGTTTAGAGAACACTTTCACATAAACTGTTTCATTTAACCTTCATTAATTTCAAGGGAATGTAATACTGTAGCGCTATAGATAAGGATATTGACACTCCAAAGAGGCTAAATTGTGCAACTGCTTCAAAGTTCCTTTTCTTGTTTTCTTAATGTAATAGTTGTCTCCTCCAGTCCTGCTCAGAGGTTAGAAAAATCTTCTTGAGGTTGTACAATATCTTTATGAGAATGGAACTTACAGGTTCATTTAGGCAAGATAACATTTCACACAGTGTCCAACTATGTGGAGGAGGAAATGTCTTCAAAGATCCCTTCTTTCTTTTCAGAAAAATTTGATCTAATTCATTTGCTTCAAGAAATAAACCTCACTAAAGCCAGATTTAGATGCTAAATGTCACATTTATCTTCACTGGTTCTCTCGTTATATGAAGATGTTTCTGGTGTTATTTTGCAGCCATTACATTTTCAGCATTTTTAATTAGGTAGGAGATTATCTTATATATAAGTTAAAGACATCCATTACTGAAGACATTTATTTTTATATCAACATAAATTATCTAATATAAATGAATTTGGTCATTAAATGGATTTTAAAAAGCAGATTTTCTTTCTACATATTTGTAATCTAATCAGCTCTAAGGGATCTTACTCCATGAATCCTTCTTTGCATTCTCTATTCTATTTTATTTTAGTTTATTTTGGTAAATTGAAAAAAAGTAGTAGTAGCCAGAAATTCCATTTTGACTCAATTCCTTGGTTCTGTCTGTTATTAAATATTTATAAAGGCAACTGATTCCACCTTCCTTTCTTAGATGTTATAATGATGATTTAGGAAGGAAAAAAATGAAGTGAGAAAGTCAGGAAACTAAGGTGATGGCATTTAAATTTGAGCCAATGCAGCCTGAAGTATGTATGTAATAGAACAGTAGCAGCTAGGGTGTATAGTTGGAAAAGAATATAACCTCAGGTGGATTACTGTTCCTTTTGCCTCAGAGACTTTGGTGCTTTACCTATTTCTTCTTATGAGTTCTGATCTTCTGGTCTCCATATTCATTGGAAAGGGCAGGGAATAGAAAGTATTCTAGTGGAAGTGGAAGTAATTACAAGGGAATATAAGTAGGATATGTGATTTCAGGAAAGGGGTTGGAGACTAGAGGGTGTGGATGGGGGACAGGTAGGTGGATAAAATAGTGGACTCCCTCGTGTGTTCTGACAAGTCACAAGTGTGTCAGGGATGAAACATTGTCAAGAGCTAACTGTTCCAAAGAAAAGATAATTATTGGTTAGCTTCTATAAGAGCCCATATTTTGATCACAGGTTTAATCCTCTAAAGTGTCTGCTAATTCTGGCTTTATGTGTGGAAATGCAAGAAATGTGAAGTTAGATTGACTTGTGGTATTCAAACACTTCTTTTTTTCATTTACTAATTAGACATTAATAACCTGGTTGAAATGATCGTTTTACTCTTAAAACTGGGGATAAGCCTTGGAAATAACAACTTTTTTTTTTTAATATTATTTATTTATTTATTTGAGAGAGAGAATGAGAGAGAGAGCATGAAAAGGGGGGAGGGTCAGAGGAGAAGCAGACTCCCTGCCGAGCAGGGAGCCGGATGGGGGACTCGATCCCGGGACTCCAGGATCATGACCTGAGCCGAAGGCAGTTGCTTAACCAACTGAGCCACCCAGGCATCCCGGAAATAACAACTCTTATCCATGAATTTACATTTATGTGCCCAGGTATTAGCAGATGTGTTCAGTCTTATTGTGAGAAGAATGATCTAGAACAGATGAGAGATGAAACAGAATTTTCATCTCATTCACTGCAGATAGAGACTGCTTAGATAGAACAAGTTAGGTTACTTCCCCTTTGCCTCATGCATGCCTTTGCCCAATTTACTTTCCATAACTCTACCTGTAAATGGAGAATATCCATTGTAACCAAGGAGTCCTTGCTGTCACAGTGAGGTAGGCCTGATTACACATTGCGTGTGTTTCTGATTAGTGTGTTAATTACTGGAAAGCTACCAACTTGTGGTGCTTTGTTAAGTTTGATTTTATTCAGCATATTTATTAACTCACTAAGTCACAGCTGTTAGTTCTGCATCTTGTGTTTGATCTTTTTACCTTTGCTTCTTGGGGCTCTTTCATGTCTTAAAATTTTCCAGATTGTGAAGCATTCTATTTTCTATTCACAGAGACAGAAATATTTATACACTACTGGTTACTCTTTGTTTCTCTCCAGTATACTGATCCACAAGGCTGAGTTTCTCTCTTTAGATGAATTCACAAGGCTGGGTTTATTTACTTATACTTGAAAATAAAATTATTTTGACACTTGAAAAAGTACTTCAAAATACTTGAAAAAATATTGCTGTTGAAAAAAATTTTAGGTGGGGCGCCTGGGTGGCTCAGTTGTTAAGTGTCTGCCTTCGGCTCAGGTCATGATCCCAGGGTCCTGGGATCGAGCTCCACATTGGGCTCCCTGCTTGGCAGGAAGCCTGCTTCTCCCTCTCCCACTGCCCCTGCTTGTGTTCCCTCTCTCGCTGTGTCTCTGTCAAATAAATGAAATCTTAAAAAAAAAAATTTAGGTAAGTCTATTGATACACTTCTTTCTACTAATTATATGCTCCTTGCAATAAGCTTTTTTTTTTTTTAATGTTTTCCTGGTGAAACATCTTTTTTTCTCCCTAACTGAAGAATAAAACACAATTTGATGAATTTTGACCATTTGTGTATGTAAGTGTAACCACCACTCAAAGCAAGATATTAAAACATTGTCATCATCCCAGGAAGTTGCTTCATGCCTCTTTCCAATCAACTATACCCAGTCCCGCCTTAAAAGCAACTTCTGATTATTAAATCACCATAGATTACAATTGTCTATTCTTGGACTCTGTATACATGGAATCCTACAGTGTGTGTGTGTTTTATGTATGTCAGTGTCTGACTTCTTTCACTCAACATAATGTTTTTGGGATTCGCTCATATTGTTCCTTTATTGCTGAGTAGTATTCTCTTGGGTTAATATAGTACAATTTGTTTATCCATTTTCCTATTGATTGATACTTCTGTTGTTTTCCTGCTGTTTGTTATTTTGAATGAATATGCTGTGAATACTTACATTTGCATCTTTTTATGAACATATATTTTCATATAGATACCAAAGAGTGGAATTGTTGGGTCATAGGTAGATGAGTAAATACTTTATAAGAAACTTCCCAAGAATTTTCCTGAGTAGTTGTTCCACTTTATAATTCCTAACAGAAATGTGTGAGAATTTTAGTTTCTCTATATTCCCTCAAACACTTGGTGTATTAGACTTTTAAATTTTTATATTTTAGCCATTCTTATGGGTGTGAAAATATTTCTCATTATGGTTTTAATTTGCATTTTTCTGGTGACTAATAATGTTGTGCACCTTTTCCTATGGTTATTGCCCATTCTTAGATCTTTTGAGGAGTGCCTATGCAAGTCCTTTAATGGGCTTAATTTCCTACTTATTGATTTGTAGTCATTCTTTATAATTTGTCCTGTAGTTCCTAGAGATATGGGTCCTTTGTCAGGTTTATGTACTGCAAATATTTTTCTTCAGTCTGTGATTTGACTAAATATTTTTAATGGTGACTTTGGTGACCAGAATGTTTTAATTTTGGTGATATCCAATTTATTAATTGTTTTTCTTTCATGGTTAGTGCTTTCTGTGTCTTGTTCAGGTTTTGAATATATGTACCCATATATTTTTTTAATAAAAGCTTTCTGGTTCTTGCTTTTATATTTAGTTCTATGATCCATCTCAAATTGTTGTTGTATGGTGTGAGGTAGGAGTTGAGATTCATTTTTTTTCCTACATGGAAAAAAACTTTCCTGTCCTCATTGAGTTGAGTTAATCCTTTAGTATTGTTTATTATTTTCACTTTCCAGTTGTTTATAGTTAGTATATAGAAATGCAATTGAATTTTATATTATCCTGTATCC